CGCCAACATCAGCAGCTGACGACTTAGTACCGTACATCCGATAAGTGGAGAACTCTGACCTCCTTTACTTTAGGGCTGGCAACTAGCTGACCCTTTCCACTTGACTTTGAGATTAGAATCAAGGCATACCAGCAGAAAAAACAGCTATCACAATGACACTTTTTGTTTGCAAAAGTTTGCCAGCTGCTCTTCTCCTCAAACATCAAGCTTGCAAGAGGGCATCGAAGCAATAGCGTTCTTGTTGAAAAACGCTTATTTGTAACCTCCTGTCGAACTCAGCGTGGCGTTGATAAAATGTCAAAACGTAGTCAAAAACGGAAACGATGTCTAGTTCTTTGAATTATCAATGATTATATTAATGACTAGCTGGCATACCCGGCTCCGCCGTATGTTCCGAATAGAAAATTCCATTTCTTAACCGATCCGAACCAAACTTGGCACACATACACTTCGGGCCCCGGCGGGTGTCACAGTCCACTTTTCGTTATCGATTAATGTCGATTTTATCGATTTTTTTGCAAAATTTGAGCTAGGGGGCTGGGATTTGGCACAGGGGGGTAATCGAGCATGGGGATTCCGAATACAATATTAGTTTTTAAAACCGTGCATTACTTTAATCGATTTTATCGATTTCTTTGCAAAATTTGAGCTAGGGGGCTGGAAGGCAGGGGGGTGTAATCGAGCATGTTGATCACCCCCACGGGGGTGATCAGCATGCTCGATTACCCCCCTGTGCCAAATCCCAGCTCCGTAGCTCAAACTTTGCAAAAAAATCGATAAAATCGATAAAAGTAATGCACGATTTTAAAAGCTAATATTGTATTCGGAATCCCCATGCTCATTCCCCCCCCTGTGCCAACTCCCAGCCCCGTAGCTCAAATTTTGCAAAAAATCGATAAAATCGATATCGATCGATACGAATAGTAGCCTATGACACCCGCCGGGGCCCGAAGTGTACGTGTGCCAAGTTTGGTCCCGATCGGTTCAGAAATGGAATTTTCTATTCGGAACATACGTACATACATACAGACAGACATACAAACAGACATTCAGCTTTATATATAAGATTTCATCAATGAATATACCTTGTCCAGGGAGCTGAGCAAGAGTAGAAAATCTGGACTGGCTAGTGATGGATGCATGTTTACTGACAAGAATCGTACCATATCTCCTTTCACTAGAAAGAATAATAACAAGTAAAAGAGCAGTTAGATTAAACGTTTCTCAAACTTTCGAAACATATATAAAACTTTGAAAAAGGCCTTTTTGGTCTCGAAAAAAGCATAATTATCCGGGATTGGTTGATACTATAGCTCGATAAAACTGCTCGTATCTCGCTTCACAGGAAAGCTAGAAAAAGCGGTCTACATCGATTTCCCGTGTTCTTTGCTATCGAATGGTATACAAAGTGTCAGTGCACAAAGCTTTCCCAGTCCAAAAAAGTCCTGCTCCGGCGACCCATAAAAGCCAAGCCATTGAGGGAGCAAGCTAGTAATAAGTATCTCCACCTCATTATTAGAAAGGCACGAGTTTTTTTTTACTCAACAACCTATACACCACTGGAAAGTTTACAAAACAGGGATTCGACATAGACCGTCTTTTTTTCTCTAGGTCCCCTCTACTCAGATACATGGCATTTTAGCTTAAAAAATGTGTTTTTGTGAGGAAATTTTTTTGCAAAGAGTGAATGAAGATGCCCAGTTGTCTAACTGCATTACAGGGCAAGACAGAGTATGTGTTCTACAGAGTAAACTTAGACGGTCTATTCTTTCTAGCCCTCCTTCTTTCAGAAATGAAGAGCAAAGTGATTGCATAAAATCAGATGTTGAAGCTATGTATAAATGATTTTTTATATTTGAATTTACAGAAGAGCTGGAAGAAAAGAGATGATCAACTTTGATTTTGTCGATTTTGCATGTTCCAAGCTTTCAAATGGTATGTCGATTGATGAGACATAAAGCTATCCTAAATCAGAAAAGTCTCTGATCGATGACCTTCCGAATCTTAAGCATTGAGAAATTCATCCTATTACCTCTGTACCACTTATTTTCTCTCTTTTCACATCCCAGTCCCATTCGGCATGTAAGCTTACGTTAGAATTTGCCTCAAGGTTCAGTTACCCCTTCACCTTTTCAGGTCGAAAATAGTCGAAACCCCTTCAAGGTGCAGGGACTGTGCTCCTCCTATCGCACCTGTGCTAAGAACTGCTTTCTACGAAGACGTGGAGGTGGTAGTGCGCCAGTCCTTCTACAAGTTTATTGCAGGGACTCTAACGCGAAAATCAGAACGCCACTAGAAAAGGAATATAGGACTGGGAAATTTGGATATGGGCTCCAGAACGAAAACGGCAACCGTCTTTTTGGGCTTCTCTCCGCCGCACGACTTTTCCATGGAAAATTCCATCTTTATAAAGAAAGAACATCGCCGGTGGACATGGGAATCGCCCAACGAAAACATACGCGGAGATCAACCACACTCTTATTAACCGAAAGCGGAGCTTGCTGGATGTCTCAGTAGTTTCCATCCTTGTGCAGTGGCTTCGATCACACCTCCTTCGAGCGAAGATTGATTTAGTCTAAAGCTGCAAAAGAAAGTCTGTCACGGTGCCGCAAGAACGAAGAAAGTCGTTTATGGCACTAACAAGCTGGAAGAGCTCTTAATAAGTTGTGACTGGATCGAATAAAACCCAGCTACGACTACGACCGGCTTTTGAAAGGATGCGAGTCTGCGGAGAGTACGCCTTAGTGATTTACGAGGAAAACCTGGCATGCATTTTAAAGATCACCAAGGAACTGTTCGAAAGAAGAAGGTCCTTGAGAAAAGATCCGAATGCGAACCCACTCGAGCGATCTATAGCCAACACCAGCAAAACAGCTTTGCAAGAGGATTTCAGGAGTACAGGAAAGCCAGGGTACTAAAAGCAGCCGAAGAAAGAGGAAATTTTGAAGAGTGCCAAAGGGACCTCTGTGAATATCACGTGCCGCTAGCCGCATTATTGAACGACAACGGGATCCCGACGACTTCTTTCGATAAAAGATGGAATCTATCGCGAGGACTTTCTATACCAACCTAATCCGCTCATCAACACCCTGCCGATGCCCGCTGTTCCCACTGGAGAAGTACCCACTACGAATTCTATCTGCTAAAGTGCGCACCGCGATTCAGACCATGAAGACGTTCACGTCTCCAGGACCGGACCATCTTTCCGTCGTTCTGCGAGCCGGAGGACAACGCCATCTGTTGCGCTAATCGATCAAGGGGTGGACCCAGCTTACGTGAGGACTGACGATGCAGCTGTCCCATCGCCCTTTGGCCATCCAATTGGAAAGAAGGTCCGACAATTTGGCACAATCTCGCCGAAGCTTTCCGCGACCTTGTATTGCAGTAGGTGATGAAATTATTAGACTGAGACTAGAGAGGCATATGAGTTGATGGGAGATTCTTATCGAACTTTCGTTTTGCGGATGACAACGTCCTCTTTTCGAGCAGTAACAGTGAAGTGGAGACGATGCTTAAGGAGCTAAACGGTAAGGAAGAAGGTCGGATTACGAATAAATCGGAAGAAGACTCAGTTCATAAAGCCTTTTGCAGAAATAAAAGGCACCCCTATCATGAAAACTTCTTTTTACGTGCATCTCGGACGTCCGATGAACATGGAGAACGACTCGAGGAAAGAACTTAAAGGAGGAGGAGAGCAGCATGGGCCGCCTACGGGCCTTTGAATAATCGCCAGGGCAGGCGGTCTGCAAATTCGCGTTTTTCTGCAAGCGGTCAGCAGAATTTTGGGGCGTGGCCAAACCTTCAGCAAGTGGCACTTCCTTTACGGTCGCATATTCTGCCAGTGGCCAACAATACAGCATTTTTTGCAAGCGCTCGGCAAATAGTTTCTTTCAGCGAGCGCTGACTAAACTTTCAGCAAGCGCTAGGACTCTTTCAACGCAGTTTCGGGCATAGCCGAGTAAAAATGAGACTCTATGTGGCAGAGGTGTCATCGATGGTTTAATTACTCAAGTTTGAGGTACCTTCTTTCAGCGGAAGGTGCCTATGGGCTGTGCGGTCCTTCACCGTGCGGCCCTCAATATTTTTGCATATTCCTTCGCGGAAAGTCCGCGAGAATGCGGCAACTGCGCCGCAACTAATCTATAGAGAAATTACTATACTTCTCCGAGCATTCCTTTAAAAACTGGCCAACATTCTTTCAAATTTCTGCAGGTGGACCGCATGAAACAACGAACTATTTTTCCTGTGCCCGCTTGCTCAAAATTCTGGCCGCCTGCCCCGGCAATTATCTGAGCGGCTGACGGCCCGGAGCTTCGTGCACGGTCCGACTCAGCCATTCTCCCGGCGCTCTGTTGCGCGGATGAGACTTAGGCGACGCTGCAGCCACGTCGAAAGCACTATGGATCACCTACGGAGTGCGTGAAGGCAGTGAGGGTAGTCAAGATGAGTGCCTGAATGCAATCTTCTGAACGCAAACAATCATGTTGGACTTCGCACTACGGATTTGAGAAGAATGTCTCCTCCCTGACCCGGAGCGGACGATACTTTGGAAAACGAAATCGGTGGACCGGTCACATCATGAGAAGAACAAAGACAGATGACAGAGACACTAAGAACATCTGAGTGGATTCCTTGCAAAGCCAAACGTCACTGAGGGAGATCACCAACTAGGGGAAGACGTGTTCGTGGAACGGATGGACCAACTGAGAAATCAGCTGGATACGATGTTCGCTCCTGAAACTCGTAGCCACCGGCGACAACCGAAAACATCTTGGTTGTCCGAAGCGAGGGACAGGGTACTGGAAACTTCTGTACTGGGCTCGCACATCACGTGAGGATATAAGTATCTAAGTATCTAAGTAAGCAAGTAACTGCGTAATGACATGTGTGAAAAGTCAACATAATTCAACCAATGCTTTTTGCTTTTTCCAAAAAGTTACGGGCTGATTTCATATCTACGAAAAGCAGAAACATAGCATTTGCGGGTGGTATTCATTTCTAGTTTGGCATGTTCCTCGAACGCTGGATTGCTGCAATGGTCGGTTAACAATACTTTCAAGATGAGCGGTTGTTGAGGAGGACGCTCTTTTCCACTATTTCACTCTACAGAAGCACTATCACTTGAAGTCGTAAACGCTGTGCCAATCATTACCTAAGAAACTCCTTTCAAATTAGATCAAAGCGCCGCAAATGTTTTTATAAAGTAGCATAAGACAAATGGGTGTATGTATATGACATTAGCTTAATTTCCGAAAACTTGAACATTTCAGACAAAGATAGTGAGCTCTTTCACCAGAAGCGATACAAGCTTTGACAGTAAATCGGGAAGCAAACGCCGTCAAAAGAAGACCATAATTATAGGTAAGAAAATAGATAGCTTTACGAAACAAATCCATTGTCAAGTAAAGTTCGACGAGGATTATGCTCGCTACAAGTACTCAGCGTTGAAAGCGCATACTTCCATTGATTTGCATGATGCCTCACGAAATGCTCAAAGCGCATGACTTGCCTCAAATATACTCCTTTCTGATTAATCGCTTAGCTTCAAGGAGAATTTTTATAGGACTTGCGCTGAAGGCTTGTCGAGTAGCTCCAAAAATCTTTTTCCTCAACTTGTGGTGCAAGAAACGCAATTTTTATCATTTCCTTCTTTGTGAAGGTATGTGCAAAATTGACAAACATTTAAAACAAACCTTAGAAACGCTGGCAGACTTCGGAATAATAAAATTGATCTATGTAAGCGTACCAGACCTTTTTAGGAGTGTCTTGCCTATACTAGAAGTGTTACTCGCTAAATTTGGCTGAAATTTTGAGTTACAGTAATGATGTAGTTGAGCGACGAGGCGTATTCCATCGATGTAATTGCGGCCTTATATACATAGCCGACATAAACTCCGCGCCCAACCTTTTATACCTGGTCTGAGAAAAACAGAATTATTGGTACTATTCCGCTGCTAATGTTGATTACAATTGAAAGTGAATAAAGAATGCTAGTTTTGCATTAAAACCAAAGAACACGTGAGACACTTGCTACATTTGATCCTCTCAATCCACTTGATCCACTTGGTCCTCTTGATCGGCTTGATCCGCTTGATCCGCTTCATGCAAAACGCGCGTCACCCATTTGTCATTTGGCGTCGCGTACAGCGAATTTGCGCAAGCATACAAAATTCCTTTTTACCCAAGCGGCACCAAATGACAAACTGCTATGTGCGCGCTTTCTGCACGAATTAGTGGATCAAGTGGATCGAGTGGATAAAGAGGATCAAGTATGGCGAGTGTCTAAGGAAGTCCATTATTCTGAGGATGCGGGCGGTTCTAATATAATCCCGAAATAAGCTCGAAGGGCTCATTTCGAAGTGACTTCAACGGATTACAACAAGAATTCGCCTCGCGCCGCCAAAAGATAAGGCAACAGAGACTTTCATCCAAAGTTCAAATTTATTTCTTCAGTATATGGCCGTGGGCATACCACATGCGATCAGTCGCCACGCAATTTGGAAGTTTGCCAGATGTCTTCAGATTCTATACTGACAGACCCTAAATGCACGGCGTGTATAGCTTTTGTAGGTTGAATTGCCCTATCTCCGTATATTCAGAAACCCCTTACTCCAGTTGTGAACAACTGGGGTATGGCCAAATCGCGTCGCGACTGAAATCGCATAAGGTATGCTCTGAGCCTAAAAGACCAAAGGAATCCAAGAACATGAAAAGCGAGAGTTTGGCCGCGCGGGTGTATAAAAAACTGATAACAGAAGAGGAACAAGCACCGAATCGGAACGCTGCCTAGCTAGAAACAAGCCGGCAGGAAAGATTCGGCGGCAATTGAAGCGCATGCGACTGAGCTACAGTAATTGACGTCGAATAGCGTTACATTCGGTGCGCATCCTTGTTTCGGAAATCTTGCATTACGAGACGCAACAAGGGTCACATCGGGGTGAGGGTACTAGCACAACAAGGGACACAACCCTGACTGTGTTTAGAACAGCCTTGGCCTTGCCTGACTGTGCAGAGGGAGCATTTTGTTGCCCATTCGTGAACTACATGGGTCATTATTATATCTAAGCTCAATTTGATCTCAGTGCATTTCGTCTTGGCGCAGGAAAAGGCAAATGGCAAAAATCATGTTTAAAGTTGGTAACCATGATTCGTCAGCTATGCTTGTATAAATGCTTTTTTCAACGATTACATTTGGGGACTTCACAACCTAAAAAGCATTCGCAAAATCGTGACGATGGCGCGACCGCGCTCCACGCACGCCACTGTTGAGAATGTTGAGAATGAGAACAGAATGTTGAGCGAATGCGTACAATGTGTAAAAACATGAGCAGCGAAACCTGACTCAACGGAGGAGCCACTGCATCACATTTGAATAGAATTTTCGTATAGCGTGGACCAGAAGCACAGCCTGCAGGCTGTAACTGAGGTATTTGACCATAATGATGCAGTAATAACCCAAGCTTATGTTCATAAGATGTCCTAGTTAAATGATTAGTGACTAGTGCCTAGACTTGCCCCCAATTTATTGGTTGCTAAAGGTGCTATCGCTCGTATTTCTCACTTCTCGGCTGAAAGCAAAGAGAGAGGGGAGTTTTTTTTTTCATTTACCACTGTTTAAGTGTGCTATTGGAATTGCACCAAGCATCTTGGTACTATGACAAATTAAGTTTGTGCGAACTCTAAGGCCCCGGACAGACTTCACGCGATTTTATCGTCGCGACTGAATTGCTACGAGACAACTGTTACAACATCATTCCATGCCGATCAACTTGCATTTCGGTTGTGATACTTTTCCAGTCCGAAATTTTTGAATGTGAAATGAAAATGAATGGAAATGTCGGCGATTGAGTTGCGACGATCAAATCGCGTGAAGTCTGTCCGGGGCCTAACGCACTATCTGGAGCGCCATGAGTGAAGAAAATTTGAAATTGAGATCCGAATCTTTATTGCAGTTGCTGTGATTGTCGGTGCCGTAGTACTCGTTGCTCTCGTGCTAATTGCTATAATTGTATATCTGAGCACAATGCAAGCAAGGGATGTTGTTATAATCAAGGAATCTAGTCAAAATACGACAGCTGCCATCGAAGAGACTACAACGGACTCTAAGTGTAAATGTGTATGCACCAAGAAAGGGTAAGTATTGCATTTGATGCACTTGCAACTTTCAAGCTAGATTAAAGAGAGATGAAACAAGCAAGTGATAAACACCAACTATGGCTTTGCACTGCCTCACGCCATTGTTGTCGTCAATTCATTTGGCATTCGTATTCATCGTATATCCACTGAAAGTACCCAAGAACAGAGGCATTTCGTCAACTTCTGTTTACATACTATGCCTAGTCTGCATTAAAAGCAAATCGCCAGATCGCTTACTGTCGCGCGAGGTGTACATGGGCCTGTAAGAAGATCTGCAGAGCGAGCTCCGAGGATTCTTGAAACGAAGACCTCTAATTTTCAGGAATTTGGAAAAGTAGCATTTGAACTCTTATTCTCCACTTGCTTAAATGCATCTGGAGGGTGGACCAATCTAGAATAAGACAAAAGACAAAACCCTTCATTGATCATTTAATCCACCAAGTTTTTTTTACCACTTTCCCCCCCCCCAGTCCCCCTTCCTGATTATCCATTTCCTCTCTCTCCTACCCCCTCTCCACTTTGTCTCCTCCTCCGCCCATTTCACCCCCCCCCCTCCCCTGCAAATGAACAAATGAAGAAGAAAATAGCACAAAAACAGCAAAAAAAAGCAAGGTAAAGGCAACAGAAAACATGATGTACACTGAAAGAATGAAAATGAAAGACTCGCGCGTTGGTTTGCGTTCGGAGCAGGATTATACCTTAAAAAAACTTCAAAGGGCTTCAGAAAAGCCTAGAAGAAATAGTGCGAGAACGCTTTGTGTTAGTATTAGGTCTCTTATAGTGAAACCAGCCCATGTGGAAAACTATGACAAGTTATGTTGAGCAAAAGGTCATTCAACTATTTGGAACCTAGCTAGAACGGTTTCAGCTACTTTTATACACATAAGTTATCATAAATCTTTAGGCACATGCTCATCCAAATTTGACGTGGTGTCATATCATTGCGTTTGATTGTGAACAAAGCTATTGTGTGTTTGAGATAGACTGTGTGAGAGCATGCGCATGCTTGCGGCTTATGCTTTCTCCATCCAGACTTGCAAATACGATGACCCCTTTGCCTTCCCCAAAAACCATATCCAGCTTAATTCGGTTCCTCCTGACAGGACCAAACCTGTTTTCAAGCCTTTAACAAGAAGTTTGCTTCTATTATGTACTGAACAGAGATTCGCTCGTCAAAAACGACACCCAGATGATATGCACTTGCAGATCCTCGTTTTACGTGAGTGGGAGGGGGAGGAGGGGCGAGTCCTGATCATCGTCCAAAAAACTGAAAGAATGCAGATTTCTGCAGCGCACACAAATTTTTGCATAGCAAGCATTAGATTTCTACGACAAGATTTTCAAATATGAGGACCTATATATTGTTATTTTATCGGGGAGTAAAACTTTGCCGCTATCTATTCCCCCGTAACAGTCATTGCAGAGAGACCGATCATCATCACCGTCGTATCAGGCTGTTCCCCCCTCTCTGTTTTCCATTCATATCGAACTCAACTCAACTAACTCGTGCATTACAGGGCGGTTGCAAAAGTGTGCCGGAAAAAGTAGGGAGAAAACTCCTAACATAAATATACTAGTTTTAAAGGTGCCAAAATTAACTTTCACATAGGGACGATGTTGATGAAAAATTCAAAATACATACGCATATTCCAACAAAAAAATACCAGGCTAAATTCTTGCATTGTACCAAAATAACATAATATGTTGGCTTCAGAAACACTAAAAAAATCTGCACAACTCTGAATTTTTAAAATTGGGAATTGACTATCCATGCAGGAAGCCATCAATTTTGAACTCTAGATTTTGTAAGTTTTCAAGAAAACGCTAAATGTTTGACGAAAACATCCAAATCCCAGATGATTCAAAACTCCTCTGCTTCACCGCTTAATCCACTTGTCTGATGGCATCAAAAGCTTCTTTTTGACAACCATGTCGTCAATACTATCAATATGCCTTCACCGTTTCGCCTTTTGGCTAATCCTTATATGTGTAATTGTTCACGTTTGTTCCCCTTATTAACAAAGGCTGTATATAAGGTCTTCTTGTATGGCGCTGAGTGATTCAATTGCTTTCTTTGCACCAACACAAACTCGCAGGCTTTCCGATGCTGCAGCCGATGGTATCGGATAATCAAATGAGATATGGAAATCCAGCTAGATTGTTAAATAAGCGGATAAAGTTGAGAAGAAGAAAGATGAGAAAACTTGATTATGGAAGAGAATGGAAGATGCAACCACCGCGTTTTACTTCTAGCAAAAGAATTAGATTTGTTGTGAGATAGAGATAAATCTATATATAAGTTTGAAACTCAAGATCTGTGAGTGTGTTCGTTTATTTCTCGTTATAGAAACGCCAGCCAATGAACCAGTTGGGCTGAAACTTTGCACACATATGTTTTCAACCCCGGAGGTGGTTTAGCACTACTTTTTGCAGCGATTCGCTAGGAAATTCTATTGATTTTGATTTGTTCACTTAACTCTGCAAAAGTTCAACATGCTCTAACCAATCATTTTGCAATAAAGTAAACATGCGGTGAAGCTCATTCTAACCTCAAGATTGGCTTAATGCCGCAGTTCATCTCAACGCGCTTTTCGCAAGTTTGAAAGTGTAAGTAAAACACTTTTGTTAGACTAATTTAGAGTCTCGGGTGAAACCGGAACCACCAGTTTGTTGTATATATCTCCAAGTTTGCTTCTCTTCTGTAGAAAGGCACTTTGTAAGACGATATGAAAAAGTGCTCTATTAAAAGTATGTAACAGCGATTTTAGTAATAAAACTAATTTCATCAACTAAACTAACACAGTCGATATGCCAAGATCAGCCTTATGTAGAGTTGGATGCAAGCATGAACAAAACAACATAGTTACCGACGACTTCAGGTTTGCAAAGCCACATCCGCCTCTACTTGTTATATCCTTTGATGGATTTGCAAAGAACTACTTGTCACGAAAACTATTACCAACCTTCGAAAAGATAGCGGAATGTGGTGTTCGAGCAGAGGTAAGCAATTTTTTTCGAAATAAATACGCACACATCAACTTATATGTATTTAGACAGTATATCCAGGATTTCCCGCTCAAACATTTCCAAATCATTGGACTATGGCGACAGGGCTCCACCCCGGTCACAGTGGCCTTGGTAACTGGATTTCGAGATCACTCATTTTCCAAAAGGTTTTTCCCAGTTGGAAACACTATATATGATCCCGAAGTTCTTCCAAAACCTAGCCGTCTGTCGCAAAACCTAGACCTTAATGAGGGCTTTTACACAGCGATCCCAGTAAGTCCAACATTTACGCTTAGGTAAAAATCTTTTTTGATACCAATTCATTCAGATTTGGGATTACTATATGAAAGAGACCAAACAGAAGGTCGCAACGTACTCGTGGATTGGATCTCAGCATCTTAGCTCGCGTGGGTACTCAACTTTACAGCCAAAGTGACTAGTTTCCCTTCCAAATAACTTCGCTGTAAGAAACAGCGCATTCTTGAATTCTTTGCCAAGACATATGAGACGAAAAGGGCGAAAATTAAAGGCTCATCACATACAAAACGGATACAATTTTAGGACTACTCAGAGAGCTACTGCGATCATAGGCCTATGCGTTCCATCAGAATGACCATCAGCGTGTACCCGTTAGCCCGCTCCCTATTTAATGACAGTGTCCGCCAAGGTCGGACTTGCGAGATTTTTCCTTGAACTTGGGTACTCCTTAGGTTTTGGCCATACTTTAACAGTTACCCATGTTACCGGTGTTACCAGTGGTAGTTGTTACTCGTATTACTCGCATTACCAGTGTTACCCGTGTTACTCGTATTACTGATGTTACTAGTGTTATCGTTTTTATTGCTGTTAAATAGTGAAATGATCACAGTCTCATCTCAAAACGCGATATAACTAACTGGTGAGTAACACGAATAACACTAATAACACTAATAACACTAGTAACACGAGTAACACATTAACACTGGTAACACGTGTAACACGAGTAACATGGGTAAACTGGTAACACGGATAACACGAATAACACCGGTAACACGGGTAACACGAGTAAAGTGTGGCCTTAGGCATAAAACATACCTCTCGCAATTCCAGTCGCGTCGCGATATCCAACTCGGACAGTTCTGAGTCCGCAGCGCGTGCGCCCAACTGTGTGGTTGCGTTGCGTCTGCGTTAGATTGACGCTGCTACGAAAAGCGGGCATTTTTTGGGCGGGCATACTCTCAGCAGAGATATCGATGCCGCCGTCGCTAGTTCTGCACCAGCAACGGAAGAATCGCTTGAATGGCTTCTTCTTTATGAGAAGTTTTGTATTTTTCGCAGAGCCGAATCTCTTGAAACTATTCCATCTCACACAGCGCTTCCTATATGCATTGGAGAAGGAGGGTCAGCGAATATTCCACGTTATTATCAATGCTCAATAAACAACCATGCGGAGTATATAGTATGGAATCCATATGTCACCTCACCCTCTGGCTTAGCATTTATTGCTCTCGCAATGCACAATCTTCTCCTGTTCTCCTTGTTCATCAATAACCAATAAATAAGGGAATCTCGAATGTTCCACCTATAATTTCTGAAACAAGATAGATGTGCAATCTCGGTTACTCAGACATATATGTATGATCGTTCCCAGATTGGCAGCAAGAGCTCGCGCAGCCGCTGTTGAAATATGCCTATCCAAAGTTTCTTGCGGGGCTAAAAGCATGGCCTTACTGTTACCCAACTTATATGCCTACCAATGACTGAAAGAGTGAACTCAAAACTTCATGAACTAGTAGTCGATTTCATTGCAGTGTTGACTTGCGCCGGTAAAAAAACGTTGGTAAATACTAGGATGAGTGTGAATCCATGTCCCTCCTCGTTTGTTGTAATGCCCTCTGGAAGCATATACACTACGTCCGATTTCCTTGAATGAATGCACTTCAAACATCCTAGTGCGAATTTTCCAAAGTGCGTATAACGCGGTGTGATTTGTTGTCTACAAAATCGCTGTAGGTATCGGTAATCAAGCGATGAGCGATTTTCACCAATGAACGGTCGCCCGGGCAGTCTAATCGCAGCGACCAAACGCAACAACGGAATCTCTAAATGTATGCTTGAGGCATTAAGCAGTTGTCGAGATGCGCAGTCTCGTGTAATGAAAGAGAAACGACTTGATTGGCCGCATACTGACCCAGACAGACTGAGTATTGTGCACAAACTCGACACGAGCAACATTGGAATGCAAGCATCCAGAGCTACCGCAGAAAGATATTGGTGACCTGGGGTATTTATCAATATCCTATATAGGAAGGGGTTCCTGTGCAGGTAACAACCATACCTACGATAGTCTAGAGACAGAGCGTCAAAAGTGAAGGTTGTTTGAACATCTGACCTCATGAATAGTGAAGATTGTTTGAAGAAGATCAGAGAAGAGAAAATGACGCAAGACAGATACAAAAAGCAAAGGAAAGTGCTGAAAACCGGATGAAATGCTGCGATGAGGTTTGAAATTTTTCTTTTGGCGGCTTTTCAAAGTGCAAGTATTCGCTCCAGCACCAGCAATTTGCAACGCGGGGGAAAGCGAAGAAGAGCCAATTTCTTTTTTGTGATTGTTACAAAAAAAACATGTTTCTGAAGGAGTGGTTATCAAAAAGAAGATAAACAAGAAAGAAATTAGTTATGAAAACGTAAAGTTTTTTTCTACTGAGAGAACGTTGAAGCCAAATCTAATTTTCAATGCGTCCTTTATTTTCACCCCTGCAGTGCCGTTCCTGTTTCCTGGAACGTTGTCTGGATTACTGCTCTTATTGTTATGAGCAACAATCGTCCAAGCTGGGAAAAAATCGCTGCGAAGCACTGAAACAGAACAAGGTGAAGAAAACGCACTTTTTACAATTTTTCGCAAAAAATTCCACCATAATCAAAGAAATAAGGGCTGGGTGGTTGTCTGCATTATGAATAGAAGCAAGATCTATAGAATGCACGAAAAAACCGCATGAAAAGAGTTAAAGTAGGAGAAGAACAACAGACTTTCGAAAACAAGGTTTTTGCCGGATTTCTCGATTAAATCAAAAAATGTGGCTTTGGGACGTTGTCATGTGAAAATAGAGATCAAGGGCTTCAGAATGATATATAGTTTGCTAAAATTGGGTTCGAAACAGCGAATAAAAGGGTACCAGGGTTAGCGAGGTAGCGAGCAGCGTGCGGAGACGCAGACGAGCAGCGAAGACAGATCAGAGCCGACAGGGTATTTGGCTCTGGTCGTAGATCTCCGCGGGGTCTCAACGAAACCCTGCAACATTACAAATCATTCTAATCGTAATGATACGACGAGGAGAATTGACAACGTCCCAAGCTTTGAAAATCACTCATTAACGCGATAGAATAGCGTTTTCGTGAGCGGCTCTCGGCGCAAGATTAAAGCGCAGTTTCTCGTTTTCATTCAACTCCAACAGCTTTCCTAAACTTCTGAAACACGATTTTGGTCAAGTAAGAGGTTAACTGAGAAATGTTTTCCTGAATTCTGCCAAAATTTCACAGAAACCTTTTTAACGTAAAAAAAGGCTATGAAAACGCAAATTCTCGGTTTCGCTGAGTCAACCTGAAGATACTATTCCCTATATTTGCTTCATTAACATTCCAATCCTTAATAATGGCCCGAACAATAAGTGAGAGATTGACAAATACCGCCCCTGGCCGCCGAACCAGTATAAAAAATGAGCTCGCCTTTTCTTCGGCATCACGGCGTTATTTCACATCTGCGTTACTAATTTCAAAGGTCTACATTTTTACAATCTTAAATGTCAATGTGCTGTTCAGCGCACTGCAATCTTCTTCTTCTTCTTCCATCCTCGCCATTGTCTCTCGGGGGTAGAGTATAGTGTGTGCCCCGGCCAGCTTCTCATCGGTGCCCTCGCGACGCACACGCAACGCGCCCTCGACTCGATGCTCCTCATTTCGCTTATGACCAATAAAGCAAATTTTCGTACAGATGGAAGCGAAATGAGAAGTGGAATCCTCCACGTCCACCTCGAAAGAAACCTATACAAGAAAAGAACGTCTAAACTAACGCTAGATCTCAGATTCCAGCTACTCTCATTTATGTTGATTGGAAAGCTGAATTCGAGTGAATGAAAGTACCTACTAGCAAAAGAGGCAATCAAAAAGTTAATAAGATTTCTAGAACGTTTTCCTCCGCAAACATGAAACACACAAAAAGTGTAGAAACGAGCACAATTGTACAAGCAAAGCCCTACTGGCTAGTCAAAAAGGATTCAAATGCATCTGTGTTCCACAAACTTATCAGAAAGATGCGCTTGTAATAGAAGCCTCTGAAGAGATGACCTCTCAGTAACTCAAATCTTCTTTTCAAATTGAAAAATACAAAAAAAAATCCCGTGAGAAAAGCTTCCAAGACTATCGAAACTTATGAAAACTCGTCCACGACTTTGTTAAGCCTCCTTTGTTAAGGATCGTCTACGCCTAAAATATAAACATTACGGAACAACAGAGTCAGATGATAGAAAAAACAAAAATTTTCTATCAGAGGCTGAAACACATAGCGCATCGAAGGCAGCCAGACACGCGCTGCGTGTGCGCCGAGGTACCGATAGGAAGCTGCCCGGGGCCCACACTATAGGCGGTATACTGCTTTTAAAAATACATTGCCTTTCGTTGCGCAGTATGCTTGAAGAGTGGTTTTCCATGACCAGTTGCGGTATATAGCTTTATAACCACTGTAACCAGAAGGCAAAGTTGAAACAGCATCATGATTGCAGAAAAAATGTAAGACGACACAAAGACGTCCCTCGCATGAAACAAGAAATATAAATTCTGACTGCTCCGCTCATCAATGCGAGTCGAACAATAATCAGTTACACAAAGCGAAATGGTTTCTGAGTGCTCCTGTTACTGACATAAAATCATGTTGTAGTCTCGTAAGATTTGCTCACACATATACAAAGCCGTGGGAGGCAAGGGCTTTTTTCAAGTACACCGCTGTGATAATGCGTATCTATAATGGAAGAGAACGGAATGACCACCAGCTTTGGTGACATCCAATCTTGCATAAAAATGCTCAATTTCGATATGAAAGGCCAAATTCTACAAAAATTTTCCACTTCAATTATATTGGGTTGGTCCGAAAGTTCGTTCCCACCATTTTCAAAAAATCATAACTTCCTTCTCTCACAATGATTTTGCGCACAAATTTTATTAGAATGCGTAGAGCATATAGTTTCCAAAGTTCTCCTGAGGACTTTTCAACATGCTCAGATTGCAGAGATAAACATGAAAGAACGAGATCATCCGAAATTCGGAATTTTTAAGCAAAAATTCTAGAAATTTAGAAACTGTGCGATAAAATCCAGAACAGCCATCATCCTAAGTTCTCTTATATTTTATAACTAATTGAGTCAAGTTTGTGCTG